ATGAATATGAATCAATCCCATTAGTAAGAAAACACCAGGGCTTTGTGTGGGGAAGCTCCAGACTTCCTTTCCTTGGGGCTCGGAGCCCTGTTCTTTATGCAGTGCGGCCGGGAAGCCATCATTGCTGGGCATAGGGCTGGGTGGCTGAGGGCTGCCTGCGGGGGCAGGTGTGGAGCTCCTGCCCTGCTCACAATGGTGTCCCCTCCCTCCTCACCCGGGGTGCCAGCCCTGTCGCTAGCCTGGCGCTGACAGACGACTTTTCTCACTTGTCAGTTCTTGCTTGTCAGCAGGGCTGCTGGTAAGTGAGAGGCGACAGAGGGGCACTAAGGCGGGGCAGGCGGGGCGCAGGGTGGAGCCGGGCAGGGGTCTAAGCGCCCCGTGGCTCATCCTGCTGCCTAGGCTCAGTCTACTCCACCGGACTCCTCACTTTCTCCCCACTCTCCTTACTACGCAGCTCTCCCTTTGCCTCCAAATCCTCCAGGGGAGCTTCCGTGGCTTTGTTTAAGGGGAAAAAGAACAGACCCGAGGTGCTTTCAATCCCGGACCGACGCACAGCTTGGTCCCTATCCCTGCTCCTGGCGGCAGCCGGCATCATGGCTGGTTTCCGCGGCTGCCTCCAGGGCGCACCTGGGGCTGGAGTCCCCTGTGATCCTAGCCCTCTCTGAGCTGTCTCAGGGGACGCTGCGGGGGAAGTGACAAAGTGACTGAAAGACTTGCTGGGCTGGACCCAGAGAAGAGAGGAGGCCGGGAAGGAACTACACAAACTCTCTCCACCTCACCCCCAGTGAGAACCTGCAGCCATGGAGTCTCCCACCAAGGAGATTGAAGAATTTGAGAGCAACTCTCTGAAACACCTGCAACCTGAGCAGATTGAGAAAATCTGGCTTCGGCTCCGCGGGCTGTAAGTAAACCTCCTGACCCCCCCTTGCCCTCTTTCCAGTTCTCATCCCTGTTTTAGTGCACGTCCACAGCCGTCCCTTCTTACCCCTATTGCATGCCCCTTGAACTGAGCAGGTTAAGTTCCACAGTTCTGTGAACTACAAGCAGGGATCATGCCTTCTAAGGCAGGGAGGGCTGCTTTGCTGTCTCTAAGTCATGTTTCCTTTGGGAAGGGAATGGCCATACCCTCAAGAGTAGATAGACACTTGTAGTACAAGCAGCAAGTAGGTGTTTCTTTTCCATTTGCCCAGGAAGAAAAGTTGGGGGACTTTGGTGAGGGACTTTTAATTAGAAATTTTCTTTGTAGACTGCAAACATGTTGGTGGATCGTCTAACGACTTAGTAACTGCTTAGATTCAACATGCACTCTTGTTGATAATTCTCTTTGCCCTCTCCCTAGCGAACTCCTGGTGAGCTCTTGGTTCTGATATTTTCTTAGGAATCTTCCTGACAGAATATGTTTATGAGAAGGGTGGGCTGTTTCGGAGAAAGCGCACATCAGATATGCATTGGAACAGCACAAAGGGGTGTTTATTCTTAACCCAGTGTCTAGGATTCTACCTGGACAGATACAATGAGAGCTCTGGACATCTGTCACTTGCTGCATGCTTTCTGGTGTAGTTGCTGAGGACAGAAGTGACTTTAGAGTACATTTTCCTTTTCTTAAACATTCATAAACAGTGAGTGAGGCTGGCCATTTCAGCCTGGAGCTGCAGTGATTTCTCCTCAGCGGACACACAGCTCCCATTGATGCTGTTCACAGCGGATAGAATGCTCATTGTATCAGATGTTTGACTTCAGTGACCTGGTATAATTTTAAAAGCCCTCTGTAGGTTTTCTGAACTTATAAGGACAGTGAGAGAAAACAGTTCCTTGCCATGCGTCTGCCATTATCGCTCTTGAAAGCCTGCACACACATTCAAGAAGCAAAACCAAACAAATCAAGAAGGTACTGATCTGAGTTCATCTTAGGAGAGACACATCCTGACAGGGTACTCAGAATTACCAAGGGGAGACAGTAAAGTGTTCATTTCTTTAAAGGGTTCCTATCTAGGGGTATACTTTATAAAAAGCATTCTACCTAGAATGGAAGCCAATCCATTGTCATTGATTTTGTAGGACACCATGCCAAGGAATTTGCTTTTTTGACTGGTGTAGCCAATATCAGTGGAGACTGCAAGCTTACCTGCATAGTTGGTCCCTGGCTGGCAGGCTCTTTTGACAGCTTAGGCGACTTATATGGAAGCCCTTTTCAGAGCTGTGTTTACCGAAAGCTTATGTTCAGCTTCTGAGTGATAAGCTTGTCATACTGTGCCACACACAGAATGTTTGTTGTGTCCACAAAACCGGAGGCTGAGGTGTGCACAGTGAAAGCAGAGTTAGGCTGGTGTTCTTGCCTTCCCAGCCAGAGGGACTCGTGACCACTTCTCCAGAACTGTTTCTCTAGCTGCTTCATGAGCTAAAGCAATTCTACAAAGCAACGGAGGCTAGAGACAGCATTTGGCTAGATCAGCATAGCTCAGGTGAGAACTTGTGTGAGAAGCATTTAGCTTTACACCACACCGTCTTGTAGCTTTCTCAGCTTCCTATCAGAGAGCTTTCACTCCTCAAAAGTGTTTAAGTGTGATGTGTGATATAGCCACAGCTGGATTTTCTAGCTTTCTAGATTTCTTTTGAATCTGCTCAGACCTTGGGGTGCCTTAGAAAGTGTGAACTGGTTTTTCACCCAGTGTGCCTTTTCTAATTCTTCTTCCCACCTTTCCTGAGGAGACTCTTTTGCTCAACAGCAACCCTCTGAACTTTTAGTTTTACTTTATGATTTAAAAGGTATTTGTTACTATAATATACTTTAAAAAACCCTCTATGTTGATTCTATTACCATCCATCCTACCATATTTATTTACTTATTTGTGTATCTATTTATTTATTTCAACAAAGCAGCAGTTTCTGGGAGAGTTGCTAAGACTCTTACAACCAAAGCACATACTCATTCCAACAACTCTGGATAATACCTTACAATCTATACCATGGAAATCCCTGGAGACTGTGTGTGTGTATGTGTCCACATAGTGGACTGTCAGCAAGAGAAAGGAAACTTCTTCTTTTTTTTTTTTTTTAAACATTTTAGAAAAAGCCAATAGCCATAGTTGGATTTTCATATCACTTTATCACCTTGACACTCTTACAGATAGGGCTTTATAAGTGACCACAGGTGGTCAGAGAGTTATCTTGACTGGTCTGAGAGCTCTGTGAGCTCTGGATTATCTAGTGCTCTCTCATCTCCATGACACTTTCTCCCCTATTTGATTTGTGGGTGAATTTTTTCTCCTTCATTAGGGTTCGAGATTCACGAGGACAGATACCTTGTCTTGTCCTTGCTGTTCCTCCAGTGTACATAGATGTGTCCAATCAATAGATGTCAAAAGCAGAAAGGCTGCAATGTGCACATTTTAATATGCAAAGTGAAGGCAAATATGTACTTGACCCAGCCTTCAACATACTGTCTTTTGAGTTAGCATGACACAGGTTTAATGAGCATCATTGTCTAAACTTGGGTCAGAACTCCGTAAGATGTGCAAAGCTATGACCCAGGGATGAGTCCCATGCTTGTGTTTTCCAATGTTCTCTCTTTCTGTCCCTATATACCACCCTCTTCTGTACTGCTGAGGAGTGGTCTTTACCAACAGCAAAAAGGTTGCTGAGTCTACTGTCTGCAAGATGCCACCATGCAGGCAATTCAGAGGATAATCCTCTTTCCATTTCAACTACACCAGCCCCTTAGCTACATCTCCCTACCCCTCATTTCCATCTGAATAGTGTTTACTCATTTGATATGTTTATTGTCTGCCTCTCAATCTAGAATATAAGCTCTACAAAGGAGATTTTTTTTCTTTTGTCCATTTTGCTTACTGGCTTATCCTGGTACGTGGTAAATTATCTGCACTCTCATGAAACCTAGAATAATTTTGTTTGTTTCTCAAGAAGAGAATTAGACAAAATTCTTAGCCCAGCCTTATAGTATTGTCAATACAAAAACAATTCATGGAACTTTAGAAACTACCTTAAACATCATTTACCCTGGCTTCGATTATAGCAATGGAGGCATTTACTGCTCTGGTTGACTCTGTCCTAGAGTAAAGGGATGCATGCAAATGCAGAGAGGTCCACAGTGATTCATGTCCCTTAGCCTCCTTCTGCAGTTCTATCATCTCTTACACAAAGGTTCTCAGTGCTCTAAGCCAGAAGGCATACATGTTGCACACTCGAGTGTTCATAAGTCAGTATGTCTGCAGTTGTTGTCTGCGTATTCTTCTGAGAGTAGCCCCCCACCCCCGTCACTTCTCCATCAACTTCAGTTGTACACAGGGCTGTTGGTACATTTCCTCCCTCTGTAGGAGTAGACGGGGACTTTTAACACACTACTTGGAGTAACCTTGTTGACAACAGCTCTGCCATTGGTAAGTGTAGGATATCTTTATGCCATGATGATACGAGAGACCTCGTGGCTGCTTGAGTTTGAGTAAGTGAGTCATGACTAGTACCTTGGGTCCTGACCAAAAGTTTTTCTGTTGCCAAATTGCCACACAATGACAAGAAGGTGTTCCTATGCTGTACTTTGTCTGACTGAGTGGAAGAGGACACATTTCACGTATTCCTTGGCATTTGCTGTCATAATTATAAAGTTCTAGCTTCTCATTCATCTTGCCCAAACATGAGGCAATATAATAAATTTTATGATTATGCAATGCCCTATGTTGTGGTTCTTGCATTGTTTAAAGTACCTTATGGATATAAAGGTAGGTTTACGTGGCTCCCGTGTTAGTAGATTAGGGGAGCTATTGCTTTTTTCTCTCCAGTACAAATTTCCACTCCCATACCCTGGTAACAGGGATTGCTTCCCATTCTGTCCCCTGAACCCCATCACAGTGTTGGGCTCCTGTAGCATGAGTTGTAGATCCTAGGATCTTCTGTCTCTATGATCAGTAGGTCTCGATAAGCATAAATCTCAAACAGGAACATGGAGTCCCTTGCTGACTTTCCGTATTGGCCCTGGGAGATCAATACTGTCCCCCTCTGGACTTTCTGGTCACTACCATGATTCATTTCCTCTTATCTTGTGAAAAGGACTTTCTTATGCTAGAAAACAAAGAGCCAAGCTTCAGGGAGATGCAGGGATGGAAAGGTAGGGTGGGGACCCTGGATCCGTCCCTGCAGCTATTTTTCTGATGCTGTTGGCTGTCCCAGCTGCACGTGGAATAGTTGCCTTCTGTTTGGCTTCTGTTGTTTTGAGTTTTCTTTTTCTAAAAGGTTCTTCACTGACACCTTACAGATCTTTGGAAGAGGGGGGAGCAAGCCCAGGGCAAAGACAGCTAGGTGTTTGCATTTGCAGATTGGCGTTAGCACTTTTTCCTTACACTCATCTGCATTTTTAAACAGTGTAATTAGTGTTTTGGAACTGTGAAGCTGCCAAGCTAACATTTACTGAGGATCTGCTATGTGCCAGCTCTTTTGTCACGCTGCTCTGGTATGCAAAAGTGGATAAGATTCCTATCTGACCTTAACAGGTCCTGGAGAGACTGGCACTAACACCCAGACTGATGGTTGTAACTAGAGGGGGACACAGGGAGAGTACCTCTGCCCTGGAGGCCAGAGAGATCTTTCAGATTGGGGAGGCCTTTAAAAACACAAGGAAAACTCCTTTCATTGATGTCAGCCTTTTGAGGACAATTCAGAGAAGAAGCCCTTTGCAAAATGTGGGGCACACAAGAAGCTATCAGTTTGGCCCAGAATAAGCTTGTTCTGAGTTTTCAATTGTTTCCATGGACTTCTGGCAAAGCTACATGTATTAGTTAGAGAGCTAGGTGTGAAACATGGTGAGATCTTCTTTGCTTATCTTCCATTGGTAATTTTCAGAACACTGGTCACAGTGGGATCTCTTTGTTGTTATTAATACTGAAGAGA